GGGGGGGTCTCAGGAGACCTGCCACAACAGCACGCCGTTAATCAATCCGATTTAGACCGGACAGGGACACACTTAGTCGCTGCTCCCGCCAACACTGCCATGGTGGGGGGAGAGAGAAACGCGTGCGTGACCTGCATCTCATTGGGGTGTGAGGACACAAAAAGATGGATGGATGGGTGCAGAATGAAGAGATAGAGATGGGGTGGCAAATGGGAGAGGGATGATGGAAGGGGCGTGAGGCGTGGAGGGGGAGACAACAATTAATGGAGTGATGTGAGATGAATTAAAACTAAGGAAATGTATCGATTAATTTCCGTCTCAAGAAGGGGGAATGAAAAAGTTCACCTTTTCTACATGGAGGAAATGCTTGCACATAGAAAGATAGCGAATCCAATTGATAATTAAAGTATGTACAAAAAAATAGAAAAGAAAGGAAAAGCTCATTATTGGATGAAGGATGAGGAGAAATTGGTGGTTTAGTCTTATTTTTGTATAAGAGATCACAAGTGAGTCAGGGAGGCTGGGTGTCTGGTGTAGATGATGGACCATATCCCTAGTTAGACCCAGAGCATGAGACAAGGATGGAGTGAGGGTATCATATTTGCATTCATTAATATGTATGTGCTTGTGTACTTTATTTTCCAGTGTTGAATGAATCGTTTGCTTGAATAGTTGGTTACTTACCCAATGATGGTGCAATTTATTATGAGGAGATTTGCATGCTGGGATGCGAAAACAATTTAGGAGTTAGAACTTAGAAGGGGATTGGCTGAAATAACTGAATTGCCTAACAGCATAATGAATAGGGAGGTCCCATTTTCTATTCAATCAGCTGTTTTCTGAACCTAAATCCTGGGATACTGGTCTGTGCATCTAGAAAAATAACTCTCACTTCTTGAAATTAAATGTATAGTAGCCTATGTGCTGGGTGGTCTTGTCTTAATGAGACCTCTTCCTGATTGCTGCATGTATTGGAACATTATTATTGGACTATTTGGTCATTTTTGGATCAGCAGTAGTATGATATTCGTTCTCTGGTATATAAACACAGTAATCGTCAAATGTAAACCTCCTTTAAAATGGCTGGTGATACCATTATAGACCCAAGATCATGTTTAATCAGAGTGTTCCTCCTGACATAAACCTGTCCACGTGCAGATAAAAGGTTGAAGAATGACTCATCAGACCATAAAAAGACACAGAGGTAATGACGTCTGATCTACTGAGCGGTCCACATGGCTTTCATAGCACTGCCATACAAGCCAGTAGCCAGTCAAATATACCTTTAGCCTCTCTCAACGGTATTGTGATTAAAAGGCTGAAACAGTTTATGACACCAACGTACAATTGAAGTTATTATTTTTATTACAACAACCAGTCTTACAGAGCTCAAATGTGATGGTTACACT